CTCCTCCTCCAAGTCCGGCACAGCTTCAGGCCACTCCTCCTCCTCCAACTCAGCCACGTCAGCCGTCTTCGCCGCCTCAGCAATCACGGAAGAGAGCCGCCTCAGCTATGGTGCATAGCAGTACAAGTCGAGGTAGTACTGGAGGTACAGGCGGAGGCAAGCGATTTCAATATGGTCCAAGCCTCCCGCCTCTTCCGCAGAGGCCTTACGACAACTCCGAGGAGGAAAACGTAGCCACATCGAAGGCCGAGGTGGAAGCCCATTTTGCACCGAAACCGCCACCGCCGCCAAGGGAGAAAGTGCCTGTGGAAAAGATTGACCACTTCATTCGTATGGCTAGACCACCAGCTCCCAAGCCTGTTGACATAGACTATGAGCACCACCTCAGGAAGTTAAATCGAGCACGTCTACAGAAAGAGGCAAGCTCGAGCTCGAGCAAATCAGCTGGCAAAAGGAGAGGTAAAACCGTTCCCCAGCTGGGAGAACAGGCGGCGCAATCAATCCCCCCGCTTGTTGTGCCAACAACACATGAGAGTAGCCGCGCCCAATATTATTGTGGGCAAACCGTTAACGTTCCCGGGGTGGGCGATGTGGTAATAACCGAGGAGCATATTGCGCAGGCTGAATCGATCGGGATCATTGTTGGACAACTCCTCGATATCGAGCCCATGTCTCCGACTAGAGAGGAGGAAATAAAATAAAAATATGCCCGGGGCCAACCTTTGGTCGAGCCAGAGGAGGTCAATAAGCTCCCTACGAGAATGTATGAATTGCATCAATGGTACATGGACATTACCAAGATTTCCAATCGAGAGTCCCTCATGGTGAATGTCAAGAAGGATCATTACTACCATGAGAAAGCTGTGACCGTTGAGTATTCAGAACTATTTCAGCTATATAATCAAGACACACTCGACAAATCTATCGTCAGTTGCTATTGTCTGTAAGTGATTTCTTTCTGTAATTTAAGTCTCAAGCTAGCTGTAGTGATCATTTTGATCAATCATTACGTGTAATTATCCTCACTATATTCTTTTCTGTGGTATTATGCAGGATGACTATTTATGAAATGAAAAAAGGTGGACGCTATGGCATTGGGTTCATTGACCCAAATACCATTAATGAGTACACATGGAAAATAGAGCCATATCACGAAAAATGTGTAGAGGAAAGCATGCTACAGTTCTTCAAGGAACTCAAATACAATGAAGATATACTACTTCCTTACAACTTCCAGTGAGTCACACTGTCTTGTACTACAAATTCTGTTTTTCCCTATTAGCTATAGCTACATGTTTTTACTTACATATGCCCGCTTAATTAAGACATGCAAATGTGTGTGCATGCAGATTTCACTGGATCTTGTTAATCACTAAGTTGATGAAGGAACAGTTGAAGTACTAGACTCACTACTTAAGGAAGCAAGTGACTACACCGTCGTGAAAGGGATAGTCAACAGGTAATTTCAATCATTATTAACTATATCTCGGCCTATTTAATTAGTTTGTCATTTCCTAATAACAACTATTTAATAACTCATTTATTCATTTTCTTTGTCGGCGGGCAGGGCTTGGGCAAAGTTCATCAAGGCCACTCCAGGCGCATGGAAACAAAATCTGAAATGGTATCGACCCAAGGTAAGTAATTAAGTAGTACTAGCTAGCTGCCATCTCTTTAATTATCATGCTTGATTAATTATTATCTGATCAAATTCCATTCTCGTAAAGGCCCTGAAGCAGGCGCCGGGGAATGATCTATGTGCATACTACGTTTGCGAGAACATTCGCATGATGGCGTCCGAAAGGAGCAAATCTCAAAGACAGGAGTGGGTACGATATCGATTATCAAAACACTATTCACAATTTTTACAACATTATCGATATCTAGTCATACAACTAATACACATGCATATTGATCTCCTTCTTAACAGTTCAAAGAGGTGCGGGACAAGCTCCTAGCACAGGACCGCATAGAAGCAATTCAAGAGGAAATAGCGGGATTTTTGCTCGACCAGGTCATAGATCTCAAAGGAGAATACTATTACCCGCTACCGCCCCATGAACCACTTTCAATTGTTATCGTGCTTCGAAGGCACCAATTAGCTAGGCTAATGCCACTGGCTCCGAAAGGCACCAATTAGGAAAAATTGTATATATATATATAATGACCGGTTCTACTAGAAATTCTATTTATAATTTATATATATGCATAACGTGTACAATATGTAGTATCGTAAAATACCAGCAAACAAAAAAGAATTAGATGAAAAACACAAAATTAAATGAAAAAGAAATCATAAACCCAAAACCCGCCAACATTTTAATACCGGTTGGTGACACCAACCGGTACTAAAGGGCTCCCTGCCCCCGAAGCTGGCTCGTGCCACGTGGTTGCCCTTTAGCACCGGTTCATGCTGAACCGGTACTAAAGGGGGGGGGGCCTTTAGTGCCTATATTTTAGCGCCGGTTACCAAACCGGCACTAAAGGGCCTTACGAACCGGTGCTATTGCCCAGTTCTGCACTAGTGGACCTATAGTCCCGGTTGGAGACACAAACCGGAACTATATGGCAATTTTCAAACTCTACCCCCCCCCCCTTATCGCCATTTCATTTTTGAAAAAAACAAAAGAAAATGATAAAAACTTCAGAAAATAAAATCCTTCAGGAGGTAGTTATATTACAACACCTACTAGTTATGAAAATTTGAAAACTTAAATTTGAACATGTTTTGCAAAAAGTGTAGGGAAAATATAAAACGGCTATAACTTTTGCATACGATGTCGGAAAAAAACGTATAATATATCAAAAATTCAGCACGAAAATCCGCATCCGATTTTGACGGCCTACGGCCTGTTTGCAATTTTTTAGAATCCTCAAAATTCAAAAGGAAAAAAGATATGGTCAAATTTCAGTTTTTTTAATTTTGGTCAAACTATGGTCAAACTACTTATTCAAGAAGTATTAATGTTACTACATAATTATTCAAGAATATTAGTGTTACTAAATAATTATTTCAATTTTTTGAATTTTGGTCAAATCTGGTCAAACTATGGTCAAACTGTGGTCAAACTATGGTCAAACTTATTCAAGAAATATTAGTGTTACTAAATAATTACTGTTTTTTTAGAATAATAGCTTCAAACTCAAATGGTGAAACGGGTGACCTAATGCTCAAGCTAAACTGCTGAGGGTTAATAGGATTGACAGCTTACATTTGTCAGGAAAACAACAAGTGCAGACTTGGAAATTAGGGGGAATAGAACTCCGAAGTTAAGCGTGCTCAGGCTGGGGGAGTGAGAGGATGGGTGACCGACCGGAAAGTTAGACGATTTGGAATGAGTTATCCACACTTGAGCAGTTAAGAGGGGTAATTAGAGACTAAATCATTAAATAATTCAATTCAGAAAATTGAAAATCAAAAAAATTAAAAAAATCAAAATTTTCAAAAAAAAATCTTTAGTACCGGTTGGTAACACCAACCGGTACTAAAGGTCCCCCATGCCACGGCATGAGCTCACGCCATCATGGTGGGCTTTTAGTGGCGGTTCGTGCCGAACCGGTACTAAGGGGGGGGGGCCTTTAGTGCCCACACTTTAATGCCGGTTATAGAACCGGCACTAAAGGCCCTTACGAACCGGTTTAATGCTCCGTTTTCTACTAGTGTTTTCGTCAACTCCCGCGCTGAAATTTGAAAATTTAGTACCAGTGGCGGGTGACGAGGGCTGCCTGCCACAAGTACTTTAACCTAACACTAGCGAGCAACGTTGAGGACCTGCCATAGCTGTGTTCCGTAAAAAGTGGAAACGCAACAAGGTTAACTAGTGGCAGCAGCTAAACGCCGCCCGCCACTGCTTGGTCTTCTATCTGTGGTGGGCACTTGTCGGTGCTCGTCATGGATGAGTTACGCAAACAAGTCCCACCCTGCAGGTAATAACTATGGCGAGCCGCGAGCGCCGCCCGCCACAGTTAAGCCATTAGTTGTGGCGGGCATGCTTGCTTTTAAAAATAATTATGGCGGGTGCCCTGCCGTGCCCGCCACTAATTTGTCATCTCCTATAAGCCTTTTCCTAATAGTGTATGTTGCCACGATAATCTAAACCCTTTTATCAAGTTGATAGGAGTAGGCACAATTGTTGGCAAGATAGTTGCATGCATTATCCTGATGATGTAGAGGCCAAGAGTATTCCTCCTTTTCGAAAAAAAAAATTGTTCACATCGACTTGTACTTATCCAGTCCTTTTTTCTCGGGCCCTAATCCACACTTGAGTAAAAAAGGTTGTTTTCCTTCTCTGATGCGCGTCTCCCTTCCTGTCCTTCGATTGCGAGGACACGCCTGCTAACTACTCAGAGCATCTCCAACAGACGCACAAAAGTTTCGCGCGCTAAAATAATTTTAGCGCGTCACTGTAGCATTTTTAGCGTGCCGGACCCAATATTTTTTTATTAGATGCCCAAAAACACGTGTCAAAAAACACACGGTGCAAATTGTGAAGTGCGCGCAACCAGGCACCCCAAATTTGCACCTTCCGGTAGCAGTTTTTAGCGCATGCCCAAACCATTTTTGCGCGTGAACTATTTTACAACTTCTGCTGAAGCTGTCCGGCGCCCAAAAATCTGAATTTTAGTGCGCAGAGCAGTTTTTGTGCGCATGTTGGAGATGCTCTCCCTGGCCTCCCGTCTCCGGCGACAACTCCATCTAATTGAATTGGGAATCGAATACGAAAAGGCCTCCCACCGCCACCAGTCAAAACTTCGACTCGCTTACGCCTGTGAAGCTGCTGGTTATGGCTCGTTCCTGCCTCAGCCTCGCCCACATCTGGAGCCTCGCTGCCGCCTGTTCCTTCTCCAAGGAAATACAAATTTAGGCAACTTGCCAATAGCTGCTCCGTTTTATTATTACACCATGTTACACCATTTGTAAGCCTACATGCCACCTAAGTAAGCTCCTATGACACTTGCGCATACATAATACGTACATGTAGATGTCTGCTATATGCGAGCTAGCCGTGCACGCTGGGGAAGTTCCTCCTCTTCAACGCAACGGCGAACCCGTTCTTCATGTGGAGTATGATGGACAGCTTCGGCTCCACGACATGCCCCGGCACGGCCTCAACGGCGAAGTTCCACAGCACGGCGGCTGCGACGACCTTCATCTGCGTGAAGGCCACCTCCTTGCCGAGGCAGGTCCTGGGACCGGCGTTGAAGGCCATGAACTTGTATGACGGTTCGTACCTCAGTTTTCCGTCGTCGGCAAGCCACCTCTCTGGCCTCAACTCCATGCAGTCCATGCCCCACACGCCCTCCATCCTCCCCATGGAGTAGGAGTAGATAAGTATCTTGTCGCCGGCCTTCATCTCGTGGCCGCTCGGGAGCACGTCACCGGCCGCTGCGGCCTTGTGCTGGAAGGGCACGGGCGGGTAAAGCCTCAGGCACTCGCACAGTGCTGCGTGCAGGTACACTATGTTGCTCAGCTCGCCCACGTCGAACACCACCATGTCGTTGGCGGTGGCCAGCATCTTTGTGGCCGCGATCGGCGCCAGCTCGTCCAGGATCCTCTGCTCCACGCGTGGATTCTTGCATAGGAGGTAGAAGAACCACGACAGCGCCGTACCGGTGGTGTCCCGGCCGGCGAGCAGGAGGTTCACTGCGGTGTCACGCAAGAACTCGTCGCTCGCGTCACCGTTGCTTATAAAGGACGACAGCATGTCGGAGGATTCGCTGACGCTCTCGCCGCAGAGGTTGTGCTCGGATTTGCGTTTGGCGATCATGTCCGCGGCGAACTGGTCTATGGTCCTACGAGCCACGGCCATCTTCTTCTCTGGGCCGAGCTCATACCGGTACATGAGCCTCCAGCACGCCGGTGGGATGATGTGTCGGAGGATGACCGTCGCCAGGACGTCGTCCATGGCGCGCGCGAAGGGCACAACGGGGAGGCCGATCTGCAAGCAGCCGGGGTCCACCCCGAAGACAAGGTTGCAGGTCATGTCGAATGTCAGCCTCAGGAACACGTCGTGCAGGTCACAGCGGGCGCCGATGTCAGCAGCGTGCGAGAGGAAAGGAAGGAGGCTCTTCTCGACCTTGTCGCGGCTGCACCGTGCCGAGAAGACGCGGAAACGGGGGCCGGCCATGAGGAGCTGCGACTTGGCACGCTGCCGCTGCCAGGACTCGCCGTCGGCGTTGAAGATGCCATTGCCCAGGACGTCGAAGATCTGGCCGAACTCCTCGCCCTTTGGGTAGTTGAGGAAGTTGGACGTGAAGATGTGACGCACATTGGACGGGTCGCAGGTGACGAAGTACCGGACGCCGGTAAGCCCCGCGTGAGCTGGGAAGTTGTAGCGCGTGCCGGCGAGGACGACGGTGGCCCAGTCGTGGTAATCCGGTCGCCTGAGGTCAGCGATCATGCCGAAAAGATGGCCCAGTAGCGGCCATTCGGTCGGCTCCTCCTTGCATGTTTTCTTGGACTGGAGATGACGGTAGTACAAGACGAAGCAGCAAAGGAGAGAGAGGACTCCTACGAACCAATCCATGGTGTAGTGGAGAAGTTTGGATGCAGTGCACCTTGGGAAGGGATTGCTCGTGTATTCAACTATTCATCAAGTACTTATATCACATGCTTAAGTCGTACTGCCAACATTCGGCGGTGTATTCAACAAATTGCATTCGAATTTTACAGAATCGATATCGTACACGCACCCATGCTGGTGATATGCTATTCCCAGCCAGCCACACACTGCATGACTATCGCGAGAAAGAAAAGTCGGTGACGCACGAACACGTGGGTGGATTGCAGAGCACACTCTTTGGATGAGTGGCTCATAGGGTTTCGGGAGAAAGAAAAGTTGATTTCAACTTCAAATTGCCATCTTGCAAACTTAATTCGTAGTGAGAAATTCCAAGAACCGGAAAGCATGTAGGAAGAGAATGAAACAACAGAGATATTCCGCCAATAGTTTTCAATCAACGAATATAACCATAATGTAATTATGACCCAGATATCCAGTGAACGTCAAATTTTAGGCATGACAAAATGAATGTTTTCCATGGCAACTTGTGTACGCTGAGGATGGTAAGATTAGTTGATGAGCATGACAAATCCACCTGAGTTTATTTGTTGTTAGAAAGTTACTGTGCTTGCAAACTAAAATTTTCATCATCACCCCATTATATAATGCCATGGAAAACATTCAATTTGCTATGTCTAAAAATCTGACAACAAAGTTTTAGCCTTTCTCTATAACTATAAATGTACTTCATGATTTTTCTCATCAGTTTGTAAATTTGCTTCTTCACATCTAAATTTTGTGATATTTATTTGTAAACAGCAAAGAGGAAGAGCAGTATAGCTAGTTGTATATCTCTCTCATTTGTGCCAGGACCAAGGGATTCCGGAATTTGAACATGGATCCACAAGGCACTGGCCACTAAGGGCCCGTTCGGAAGCTCTCGTGCTCCCAGCTTCCCGAAATAGCTCCAAGAAGCCAGCCGAACGATCCAGCTTCAAGAAGCCCGCTCCTGGAGAACAATCAGCCCGTAGTGCAAATTCCTGGAGCAGCGATCGCATAGCTTCGCAAAAACGAGAAGCGGGAGTTGCTATAAATTACGTGGGAATGCCATCCCGAAATGCTACAGCCCATTCAGCGAATCGTTTTTCTATCGCTAAAGCCCCACACGAACCGTTTTCTGTCAGCGAACAGTTTTCCTATCGCTACAGCCCACCAAGTCGGCAGCCGAACGCTCGCCCAGCTCCAGCGAGAAGCTGGCTCGTTTGGGAAGCTAGAGAGCTTCCGAACGGGCCCTAAGAAATGGGGCCCCGTTCGCTTCGTAGGTTATGCAAAGGAATTTTGGAGGAACATTGTTAACACAGGTTTATTTTCCTTCGTAATGTTTGGAACGCAGGAAACATGCACATTAATCATGAGAAAACTAGCTTCTTTGGTGCTGATTCCTGAGCAATTCTAAGGCCAACTCCACCGCGCGATCCCAAATGGATGTTCGTTTTGTACGGATTATGTTCGTTTGGATAGGGTGATGGGGTCGTGTCCGGGCCTGTTCTGGGATGCGGTGGCCGTGCGCCCAGCACGCGGACGCATCCCGGCCGCATCCTATCCGCGTACATTTTTCTTTGTAAGTCCTTAATTTTTTTTCATTATTTATTTTTGATACATGAAAAATACATCATCACATTTTGACTAGTAAAGCAAGACAAAAAAAACAATAACCACAAGAATACATTTTAGAAGATACCTAACTTCCATAACTGCTCCCTTGAGTTGGATTAGGGCCTTCTCGATGCACTCATTGTTGATCTGTGAAGGAGGCTCGATCTGGCATCCTCCTTTCTTCTTCAAGCCAGAAGTAGATGTTGCTTCCTCACACCTAGTGTCGTGTCTAGTCTCTAATCTAGCAACAAGTGCACTTGTCTCATTTACAGCCTCTGTGCTAGCTAAAAGTGCACGAACATGTACTAAATTTCACTCTATCAATATATCGATGTACTCTTCTTCCCAATACCAAAACTTGCATCCATGCTACACAATAAAATTTGAAGTTAGCACAACTAGTCAAATCTAGAGCACAAACCGAAGCTAAAAAAGCACATACCCATCGTTTAAGCACTTGATAAACACCCATCCGGGATGTTCCGGTGTTGTAGACACGCGACGCACGACCATCCTTGGGCAGTGGTCGCACTTAATGAGTGGCAACGGTGCGCCCACAAGCTTTTGGGTAAGCACCGAGCCCGGCCGACCGCCATTCGTGTATCTGTCGGCGGACCACCAACGGTGCAGATCCGAGCGGCTAGAGGAGGAGCCACTGCCTGCATGTGGCCTTGCGGCCCTGCCATGGCCTTCCGGCGAGGTGCCCGGCCAGTCCATGACGCGGCCCGGTCTCCCACAGCCGGGTGAGCTCAAGACCGACCGGATCCGTCCCAAATCCGGCCGGCGGGTGCGCAAACCAGATGGGCGTGGTTGAGTAGCTCGGCGGCGCCGAGGGGAAGGGGCTGGGCGAGCGTGCGCCCGAACTGCACGGCTGCAATGGCAGCGGCGGCGGCAACAGCGATGGGAAGAGTGCAGGGGGGTGTGGCCTGAGGGAGGGAGGGGGGATAAAAAAGGCCCACCGTGTGTCATCGACGGGTGGGTCAGGGGAGGACACGCGCAGACGGCCCGCACGTTCGCGTGGTGTCTGTTTCACTCCAAAAACGGCGCAAACTTGGGCCGCGGATGGGTCAAAAACGGACACGAAACGAAAAAAGGTCCGTTTGCTTCCGCGCGCTGGGTTGTTTAGTTTGTTCGTTTTACCTCAAATAGACGAGGACGGACATGATAGGGTGGCGCGGTGAAGTTGGCCTAACATCCGCGTAAAGCTCATTTTCTCGCGGAAGACCGAGGCGAGGCGCTCTGGCAGTCGCTGTTAGAACCAGAGGGATTAAAAAACTAGAACGCATGTACGGTGAGGTGAGAGAGTTGGAAGTAAAGCTGCCTTGTTTAGCCCGTGTAACTAATTTTAAAAAGCCTGTAGAGTACTGTTCACCAAGTGCTTTCCAATGGTCACCGAACGCCCATTCTGACAACTTTCGTGTGTTTGTTTCTTCCGGCGTTTCACACATACATTGCTTCTCCGTTCCTATATTTTCTCTCATTCCTGTGTTTCGTATCCCCACGAACCAAACGAGTCCAAGGAGACGGAAACAAGGCCTGACCTGATGACAACTCATTGAGACGGCGCAGAGGCATGTGGCTAATTTGTTCGCATTCGCTAGTAGCAGTGTAGCACAGCTCCGTGAAAATTTAGTGACCTTCATGAAATATTCGAATAGGATAGTGGCACCACCATGATTTTCCGTTAATTAATCCGAAGGTTTTATTTTTGAAAAAAATCACATATATTTCATTAGACAAACGTATTACAAAGAGTACACATGTAGTCATCACAGAAGACATATATAGTTGTCTTGCAATATTGCATAAAAGACTTCACAAGAAGTAAAACTAGAATTTAACTTCAACAAAATCTTTTTCACGCCCAAATGTCGCCCACCATCGTCCTCCTCCACCGCCGAGGCAACGTTGAAAAAAGAGGAGAACCGCCTTCATACCAAGATCTAGAGGAGCACCTTTGCATACAACGTTTTTTGAGCCGACGAACCGTACCGCCGCAAGCGACGAGACCGAGACTATATGGCATGTCGGCCGGTGTTCTTCCCCGTGTCCGGTAGATCCCAGCGTCTTCAACTTCATTCAATGAGATCGAAGAAGAGGATCGCCACTGCATTCCGCCATCCACGCGCCCCGTTGCAAGACACCAAACGCAACCGCAACAGCCCGCACCAATGACACCCGAGAGAGTGTGGCGCGCCGACCATCAGACACAGATCTTACCGAATCTGAAGACCAGTAAGAAGACCAAGCCACATGCTCCCCTACGCCGTCCATTGGAGCGCCACCGGGATGAAGAAAGAGCAGAAGCAAATTATTTTGATGCGGCGCCGTCCACATCATTGATGTAGCACCTCTAAAAACAAACTATGCCTATCCTATATCCCTACAGGACAGAAACAGCCAAGGTCCCCGCCCGCTCCCACCGCTAGAGCGGCAGACGGAGACGGATGAGGACTCAGCGTCGCCAGCGATGTTGAGGAAAGCAGGAGCGTCGCCTCCTGTATCGCCTCTCTAGAGAGATTCCAGATGTGAACAGTTGAGAGCGAAGCGGTATTTTCATTAATCCAAAGATTATATAAGCGGATCTATCACTTGTTCGTACATATCTCCTTGCAAATCTACCGCATCAGGTGCAACTGACAAGTGGGACAAGGTTGTTCTTGTAAGAGTTTATTTCTTTTCATATTTGGCCTTCAGAATAAAAATCTCCAACCGACGAGTTGAAGTGTCACTAGTAGAAAAGGGGGCTTTGGTCCAGGCCGGGTAAGCCCATTAGTCCCGGTTCAGTCTAGAACCGGGACCAATGGGTGCATTTATCCCGGTTCGTGCGGCTAAGGCATTAGTCCCGGTTCACCTGGGCCCTTTAGTCCCGGTTCGTGCCACCAACCGGGACTAAAGGGTGCGATGCCCATTAGTTCCGGTTGGTGCCACCAACCGGGACTAATGGGCTTTGAGGCATTAGTACCGTTTCATGGCACGAACCGGTACTAAAGGTCCCATTTTCAAACTCTCCCCCTGACCGCCTTTTCAGTTTTAGAAAAAACAAAAGAAAATGATGGAAATGTCAAAAAAATAAAATAAAATAAGTTTCCCATGTGATATGTGGTCTAGTTGTTGGGAAAATTTACAAATATGAATTTCGACTTTATTTACAAAATCTCTCTGGAATTTGTAAAATGGGCATAACTTTTGCATACGAACTCGGATTAAAAAGTTTTTTATATGAAAAATCATCTACTCGAAAACGGCCTGTTTGCAAATTTGTAGAATCCTCAAATTCCAAAAAGAAAAAAAGTTATGCTCAAATTTCAGTTTTTCTAAATTTTCATTAAATCTGGTCAAACTACTTATTCAAGAAGTATTAGTGT